AGTAAGTAACAGCTCAGAGGGCTCCAGGCAAGTTCCACCATTGAGCAGCTTTGTCCCGAGGTGGGAGGCTCACTTCTCCACCATCACCCTTGCCCCCAGCTGCCAGAGGCCTCACCAGGTTGCTGCTATTGCCCTGAATCTCCAGTGATTGGTTTGTAGGCACGAAGATGGTGTAGGCGAGGGCAGCATCAATCTGGGCAATCAGCTTGTGGTGCTAGCGGTAGGAGGTGGGGTTGGGCGTGAGCATAGCTGTCCTCCGTCTTGATCCTGGGATCCAGCTAGCTCCCTCCAGACCTAGGATATAATGCCCCTAACCAGATGCCCCCACACTTGCCCTTCCATACCTGCAGCAGCTTCAGGAAGAGATTGAAGGCCGGGATGGAGCCCAGTAATTGTAGCAATCCCTGCCCTGGCAGCATGTCCCCCCGTGGAGGTAGTAAGACCTAGGGCCGAGCATGGTGGCTGTTCAGTGAGCAGTTGCCTGCCTCTAGGCCACCTGGAAGGTTCCCCGTGCACACCCCTTCCATACCTGGTTGAGGATGTGTAGGAAACCATTGGTGGCAAGGAGGTCAGCCACATCCACACTGGCATTCTGCACCCAGACCCTCTGGAAGGCAGTGGGTGGAGCTTAGCTACAGGCAGGCTACTGAAGAGTCAGTGCAGCACTAGAGGAGAGACACTGGCACACGGGCACTCATAGGTGCCACCCAGCCTGGTCTACACACATTCAGATTCAGGACCCACCAGACGGGCACAAAAACCCTGCATGAGAGGGAGGTGTACAGTGCCAACAGGATGGACAGACCCCTTGCCAGTATTGCCATCTCGGACCCAGAGACACACTGTCCATCAGCAAATGTGTCCTGAGCCCACTGCCCTGAGTGAGACCCTGGACTCAGGGGATCCTGGGCAGGGTAAGGGGATCCTGATCTCACCCCGAGTCCCTGGACTGTGCCTCCCATGCCCTGTCTGGCCCCACTCTTCCGCCAAGAGCTTACCACATACCCCACTAATGTTGCGAATCTCCCAGTGTGTGGTAGGGTTCAAGGTGGCCACATCTTGTCCACCCAGTCGGGCCAGGTCCTCCTCAGAGTGAGCACCCTGGAGAAAATGTGCCCTGTGGGGGCAGCTTGGGGTTTTAGCACGACCTATAGAGACACTTGGGACTGGGGCTTACCCTAAGCCAGGCTGGGGACCCAATTCTTCCACCTCCCTTCCCCTGGTTGCTGTACCTGACCAGCTGCGGCAGCATCTTTGGTTGCAACCAGAAGGCCCGGTCCTTGGGATTCAGGCTGCGGATGGCAGATTCAGAGGGCACCAGTGCTGTGATGCGGCTGTCAGCAGGAAGGGTGATGCTGGCATTCTGGGAACCACAGCGTGCAGGGGGACAGGAGGTGTGATGAATGCAGCCACCATCTTGAGATCACCTGATCCCAGCCTCCAGGCCTACCCCACCTCCAATTCTTGGAGATGTTATGTGCCTCCTGGATTTGAGGCCCCACCCCAACATCCTGCCCTGTTCTACCTTGATCCACTGGGAGAAGATGAAGAAGTGGGCATTTGCCTCCAGCTCCTAAGAGGAAGGAAAGAGCTGAGGTCATAAACTTAGGAGTAGCTCCAAGTCTTCCTCCCTACCCTAGGCCCCGAGCGTTGCCTCTTTCCTGTGTGAGGCATACAAGAGGGTCCTCTCCAAGCACAGACACCAGAAATGAGTCTGTGCACTATTTACCTGCAAGATGTCTCCGTAGCAGTTGAAGCCATTACCTCCATAGCCAGCAGGGCATGTGCAGACCCGCTGACCTCCCCCTACTGCCCGACAGGTGGCCTAGGGTCAGAGTGGGTCAAAGAGATCCTTCAGCACCCATAAGGTCAATCCTGCCCATCCTCCATCTCTCTGTTCACCCTCACCCTGGTCTCCCATCCCCCTACCATCTGCCTATCCAGCCACCTGTCCCCCACCACCCAGCTCCACACACCCGGTGGGCATTTCTGGGACTCCTTTGGTGTGCCTGGCCTTGCTCTCCTGACAGGGCCATTATCCCAGCCCAGGATGGCGGATGGGGCAGGGCCAGGACTGTGGGGGTACCCAGGAGGCCTGGCCCCACCTGGGGGGTGGCTGGTGCTCTGGGGAGAGTGGGCTAATGGCAGGAAGAGCTAGCCAGGATGAAGGGGTAGGATGGGAGGCCTTCTCAGGAATGTGAGAATGAAGGAGAGGAGTGAATGTTAGGACAGAGCAAGGTAAGTGAGGAACCCCAACTGGCATGAGGAGCAAGGAATGTCTGGTGAGGTGGGGGTGGAGAGAGGCGCTGGCCTGGGTTTTACAAAAGTAAAGGGGAGTGAAGGCTTTATCTTATGGGCAAGGGAGTGGCATGGTTGAATTACGGGGTTAGAAAGATCCCTATTCTAACAGGAGACAAGCTGCAGCCTAAGCCCACCAGCATATGCTCCCCTTCGGCCCCTCACCAGGTCGTGGCAGCCGCCGTTCCCCACTCGACAGGGGTCGATGGGGCTGCACAGGTAACCATCTCCGGCGAAGCCCAGCTTGCAGGTGCACCGGCTCTGGACAGGTGGGGCAGCAGAGCAGCTCATCTCACCTAATCACCCAAGTCTTCCCTGCTCCACCCATCACCTCTCCTGGGCACTGACTGCTTCTGGGAAGCCTGCCCAGACCCCAGGTGAGCTCTTCCAAGTCCCACCCCTGGAGAGCCATTTCCAGGTGGAGAGGCTGAGGCCCTGAGAGGTGGCAAGCTCTAGAGATTGGTCGGAGAAGTGGCACCATCATCAGGGAAGTGTCCATGGGGACTCAGTGCCCCTCTGTTCAGGCTGAAGGTGGCACGATCGGCATCCTCGCCCAGGTTGCCAAGGTCAACCCCGGGGGTGGTGGCTCTGATCTCATCTTAAACCCTGCTACCTTGGTGAGCTGCTCTGGTCCCTTCAGAAAGATTTGTAGTCTTGAAAGCCTTATATAGGTTCACTATGAGTTGGAATTAACTTGGTTTGGGGCTTGATGTATCGGGCTCAAAAACTCCAGCTCCCACACCTATGTGAGTTGTCACAGCTCAGGCTACAATGGGTTGGAAGGACACGAAGCTCATGAGCCCTGCACAGCCCTGGGTCACACAGAGGCTGACCTTGAACCAACCAGACTGGCCTCCCAATTGGTGTATGAGATCTTTTTCACGCCCATCAGCCCTCAGCTGATAGAACCAGGCCTGATAGAACCTGGAGCCTTCTAGGTGGACCTAAGATTCTGTGACTAGATTCTGAGACTGCAGAGTTCCAGAGCAAGATCTCCCTGAGTCTAGAGCAGGGACCAGCATGTAACAGGTACCACATGGGGAGCAAATGTGTAGATGCATGAATGAATGAATCCCAGACGGTGATTCAACAGGTCAGTATTGGATTCTCATCTAAGTCTGAGGCTCTGGGTCCTGAAGCTTGAGTTCTTGGAGTACCACGGGGTAAGGAGAGTGTCCCCAGGATTTGGACCCAGTATCTTCAGCACCTTGCCATCCTGGGCCTTCCTGCCTCACCTGCCCAGGGCCCACGTAGCTACAGAGGGCATCGATATGACAGCCGCCTCGTGCACCCAGCTCACACTCATCGATGGCCACGCAGACCCTGCCGTCACCACTCCAGCCTTTGTGACACGTGCAATTATGGGTACCCGGAGCTCCGGGAACACACTCGGCCTAGGGGAGCCACAGTTAAATGACTCAGGAGGCGCAATATAACTGACAGAGGCGCAGGGAGAGCCCCTCCTCTCACTCTGCTCTCCCCACCCCAGACGCTAGGTCCAGAAAAGTCCCTGAGTCAGAGCTTAAGGGGAGCAACAAGGACTGACATTCTCTGAGCAGCCACCACGGTCTGGGTGGGAGCAGGGGTTGCTGGGTGCACAGGAGAATCCATCGCCCTCAAAGTCATCAAGGCAGACACACCTGGGGTGGGGGAAGGGGACTCCAGTGAACCTCTAAGAGGCTAGAGTGGGGAGTAGGGCAAAGAGGAACAGGAAGAGCCCAAGAGCAGTCCTCACCTGGCGGTACCCTCCTGGATGACACAGCGGGCATGCTGGTGGCAATGCTGGGCCAGACCCGTGGCCTCACAGTCTCTCATGGTCTCATTGCAGAAGCGGCCGCTGAAGCCAGGAGCACATGTGCCATGCTGGCACACCCCCCCACTGCCTGGACGGTTGTCACATAGACCATGGACACAGCCACAGTCTGTAGAAAGGAGATGGGGCAGAGAAATTGAGGCAGGGAGCAGGTCTGGTCAGGTGCCAGGATAGACCTGGTGGAGGCTGGGAATGGGCCAAGTCAATATAAATTTGAGTTTAGGGTCACAGAATCAGAGGTTATCCCAGTCCTGATGGGCAGGCAGAGGAAATGTAAGGGGACATCCTGTGCTTTCATTCACCCTATTCTAGTTGCTCTGGTAGCGTACTGGTTATGAATTGGGCTGCCAACCACAAGGTCAGCAGTTCGAAACTACCAGCTGTTCTGCAGGAGAAAGATGATGCTTTCTGCTCCCGTAAAGATTTACAGCCTCAGAAACCCTATACAAGGTTGCTATGAGTCGGAACCAACTCCACGGCACATAACATTCTAGTTGCCTGGCTATATACGCATCATCACCAGGAAGTTTTTCTGGTGTCTGATCTAAACTAAATCCTTCATGTTTTACATTAAATCGTGGTCCTCTTCCTGGCATGGGTGAAGGAAACATCTACTTTTGTTCCCAAATCCTGCTTCATTTCCTCTGGCCTTCACCTTTCTTTCCTCCTCGGGCCCTGGTCCCCTTCTTAGGAGCTCCCGCTCCCTTTCCAAATAAACTCTCTCCCTGAGAGGCAGCCTAGGGTAGGACCACTCACCTTCTTGGCACTGGTCTCCATGTTTCTTTGGGTTGTTACAGATGTGGCAGGCGATGCCTTTGTAGTCTGGGAAGCAGAGGCAAGCTCCGTTGCCCTGGACCCCGTCACTGCACTGCGGGGTGGACAGGAGCCAGGGTAAGTCCTGAGGAAGGCTTTCTCCACCTCAGCATACCTCTGAGCTGCTGCTCTCCTCAAAACCTCACCCTAGAAGGGACTCTAAAAATTATTGATACTGTCACAGAAAGAGCCTCCTAAAAGTCATTGGACCCTGGAGGCTTCCTGGGTGATGTCTTCTCAATCGAGAAACAAGTGTCCTTCCACTGCCCGCTAAATAACCCTGATATCACAAAGTGGTAAAAACGGAAGGCAAAAGAAAACTACTGACCAATAGCATATGTGAAAGAAAACAGATGCAAAAGTTTATCCAATTAATTACTTCTAAAGTCCTGGTGTGGTGCTGTGGGTTAATGCACTCGACAGCAAAGTTGTTTGAACTGCAAGGTTAGAGATTCAAGGTCACCAGTTGTTCCTTGGAAACCCTATACAAGGTCGCTATAGGTCGGAACCGACTCAACAGCACTTCACAACAATTAAAATATTACTAATAACTTGGCCCAGCTTCCATTACCTCGATGTGAGGAACCCAAGGTCAGAGGACAACTGGCTTGGCTCAGACACACAGCAAAGTCAATGGCAATTCAGAAAGGAGCCCCTGGCTTCCCCCCACATTACCCCACGGAAGGCAGCACTCACGTTGCCTTTTCCATAGCAGGGGTTGGAGAAGCCCCCAGGACACTGCGCACAGTCGGGGCCAAAAAATCCTTTGCAGCAGCCTAGCTTCTATAAGAGAAAGAGCATGTCTGAGGGGTGGGCCCTACCGTGTGCCCTACCCCACCCCCACCCCCACCCCAATTGCCTGGGCAACTTCTGCTCCCTGGTCCACTTTCAGAGCCAGGAGGTGGGTGAAGTCCCTCATGGCCCATACCACCCCGAGATTGGGCCCATACCACCCCGAGATTGGGCATCCTGTGCCTAGGGCTCACCGTGATGGTTTGGTTGCAGTGGCGGGCGCAGCCCTTCTTCAGAACATTGAGGCCAGTAGGGTCATGAATGTAGACACACTCCTTGGGGAATATGTCCTGAGAGATGGGCCGTGCCAGGCTTACAACAGATGTGGGTGCTGGGCTCACCCCCTTAACCAGGCTGGCCTCCAGGTATATCCTAGTCTCTGGTCCCTTCTCCCTCCCTAACCCAGGCAGAAAGCTTGCTGGGCAGTTGGGAAGCCCTGAGGGCTGGGCCAAGGGTGCTCACCAGCTCCATGCTGTTGGGGGGGCATGTGCTGGTGTTCAGGGCTTGGCAGTCTACACAGGAACCCTGAATGGGCAGGAGGAGAGAAGGTAGTCTTTCGCTTATCTAAGAAAGTGACAGTGAGCTGAGACCTAAGAGAGGAGAGTGAACCAACCCTGGGAAGACTAATGCACAGCATTTTTGCCAGAGCAGGGCCCTGAGGTAGTAAATAGCCACGTGTCTGAGGCCACGGGGCAGGAAATGGAGCAGAGCATGCCCAGGTGTGTCAGGTAAACCACTGACGAATCATTGAGTCTTGGCAGGGAGTCTGGGGACAGAGTGGTAGAAGCTGGGGGAGTCATTTCAAAGTAGATCAGTAAACAATGGTGATACCATAGAGTGGAGAATCATTCAAGATTAAAAGGCAGTATTCACCCAAGAACACACCCCAGAAGGGTGGGGAAAGACAGAGGAACAGATAAGGGACAAAGAGGGATAAGCGATGCTCCATTGTGGGGATTGCAATCAAGATGAACGAAGTACACGATTTGTTAAATGTGAAACTCACAATCTGCTCAGTAAACCTTCATTCAATCCACAATTTAAAGAAAGTTTTTATAAAAAAAGGACTGTCTATGCACTGGGTGTGAGGGGACCCCAGGAAGTGCTTGCATGACTGTGGGTCTGGAGATGAAAGGGCCTGGCTGTGCAGTGGCACAGAGCCCCGCTCACCATCACCATCTGGTGCTGCTCCTCACTGCAGTGCTTGGGTAGGATGGGCTGGATGGTGGGAGGCAGCAGGACACCATCCAGCACATGCATCACACCATTGGCAGCCAGCACATCTACTTGCTTCAGTGGGACTCCCTGAGGTCCCAGAAGGATGCGTCCCTGGGATGCAGAAACCCACTGTTTCACCCCACATAGCCTCAGCGTAACTGGCCCCAGTCAGCCCTCATTGCCCTGGGCTTCCCCTCACTGCTTGGGTTCGTCATTGTGGTGGTCAAGGCCCAGCCAGCCATGCCTGTTCCCACCCCCACCCCCACCCCCTTGGAGGATGTCCTGCTCTGGCCATGCCCTCACAGTGCAGTGCCTGACACATGGAGCATCCCTCTCCTTCTGGGAGCCTCTTCCACCCCATTGGGTCCCAGCAGAAGGATTAGACTTCAGTCTGTCTCCCACGTGACCTCCCACCAGAACATAGAGTTCTGTTCATAAAGGGCTTGGAGCAGGAAAGTAGGGCAAAAGAGGCACAATGACTAGCCAGTTATCCCCAGCCTTTCCATTTGCCTATGTATTCCAAATATGAGTGGAATCTCACCTCCTCAGAGATGTTCACAGCCAGGACCTGGTTTGCCATGGTGAGGACCCGACCCTTGGAGATGAGCTTCTCTGTGGTCAGCTGGGTAGGCAAGAGTGTGGCCTTGGGCTAGGTACTGATCATACTTGGAACCATGCCCAGTCCCACCCAGGTGACTCACAGCTCCCCCCTTTAGTCCTGAGGCTCTTCTCCTCTGACCTATAATAGTCCCAAGGGGAAAAGAGAAGAGACAGGAAGGAGAGGGGGCCCCTGAGAAGAATGATCCCCGGACACAATTACAAAGAGCCCAGCAGCAGAAGTCCTCACCCGGCCGTGGCTGTAGATGTGGTACCTCACCAGCTCCTGCAGTTTGGAGAGACCCTGGCAAGCGAAGAGAGGGCTTGGCTCCTGGAGGACTTGTGGGGAAGGGTGGAGATCCTGGGGAGCACACCAATCCTCCCCCTCCCCTCCCCCCCCCCACTGCCCTGCTGAGCTTACTGATGTGAAGAGGTAGATGAGGCGGCCATCTCGTAAGCTGTCCACAGCCTCGTTGCTTGGAACAAAGACTGTGAAGGGTCCAGGCCCATCCAGGATGGAGGGCAGCCCACAGTTCTGGGAAGAGGGGATAGGAGGAAGATGGCAGCTCAGGAGTTGCTAAGGCCAGCCCACACTTCTGAGCCCAGCTCTGGCCTGGCTACCTTCAGCCTTTAGGAAACGCCCACCAGAAGCTGGAGGCCCCAGCAATGGGGCCTTCAAAGTAAGGAAGAGGACCTTAGCCTAATAATGGCCAAGGAGTCACAGAGCAGGCTCCTGGAGGCTGGCGAGTGGAGAAGCAGAGTTTGAAGAAGGGGCCCTAGCTCAGCACAGCAGCCCAAACAGGCTTACCTCCAGAATGGTCTCAAAGCGACTGAAGGCCTCAGTGGAGGCGAGAATCCTGCCGATAGTTCTCTGCCGGGGTTGGGGGAAGGTGTGAGGCTGCTTCACAGGGAAGGAGCCTTGCCCTGAACTGCCCCTCCTCCTCCTTCTCCCCTGACAGACGAAGTGGGAGAGCAGTGGGGAGCACCAACATACCTCTGGGTCCCCAAAGAACCCTGAGGGGGGCTCCAATCGCAGGTTGGTAACCACATGGAAGACGCCATTGGAGGCTGGATAATTGGCCCTGTGAATACTGAATTTCTTCTGGGGCTGATCTTCGTAAGTGTAGGAGTATTTATGCTGTAATAAGAGACAGCTGACTCAGACCCAACACGCCTCCTTCCACCTCCACACCTGTGCCTGGGCTGTGTTCTGCTCTGTGGCTCCTTGGCCATTAGGCTAAGGTCTTCTCCCTTACTATGAAGCGGCTGAAGGTGACGGTGATGAGCTGCCCGGCCAGCGTCCACCAGCGGCGTGTCTGCAGGCCGCCCTCCTCCAGCACGTGCTGCCCTGCGATGATGTACTGTCTGCAGAGCTGCTGGGCAAGGGACACCTGCATGGGGGAGGGGTCTGAGTGAGCACAAGGTGGGGCCTTTCCCTGCTGCCCCTACCTGGGCAGTGCCAGGGATGGCGAAGCCTCAGCGCCCCCAGTGTGACCTAGGAAGAGGGAGGGCAGCAGAAGCCCCTTGGTGGGGGTGGGGTGGCTCACGTTTGTGATCCTGGAGTAGGAGGTGACAGATGGCACGAGCACAGTGAAAGGGCCTGAAGTGCTGAGGAGCTCCCCGCAGCCCTGGCCTAAGGGCAGGGAGAGGCTGCCTCAGACTGATCCTGGGGGGAAGCTTGGGAAGACCCTCAGTCCAAGGTGTGAGGGAGGTAAAGTGGGGATACAGGACCTCCACCCAGTCACACCCACCCTGGGTAGAACCTGGGGTCTCCACTGAGTGCCTTTCCCTCCCCACTGGTTCGAGGGTGAGGGGCGGGGCTCACATACCCAGTATGTCGAGGGCGGCTCTCAGACGCAACACCACAAGGCCCACCTGGCTAGACTTCTGCACCTCATGGAGCAGGTGGCCGAAGCAGGCACGTCCATCTCCCACCTCACCCTCCTTACACACACAGCTGGGAGCATAAGGAACGTTGTCAGGGCAGGGGCCTCACCAGGGCCTCCTCCCTACCCTTTCCTTGCCCCCTCCCTCAGGTCTTCTCTGCATGGCCGCCTGTGGGCCCCCTTCCCCCCGAGGTCCCTGTGTGCACCTGATCTTCCCATCTGAGGTCACCTGGCAGGTAGCTGACCGATCACAGGAAAGGGGGAAGCAGGTGGCAAAGCAGCCAGCGGTGGCATTGTGGCTGGCGCTGACCAGGCCAGGTTTACATGAGCAGGAGGCCTGGGCCACGGGACACAGAACACCAACCAGTGTCACACACTCACAGAGCCCATTTGACCCCACAGTTGCCCTCTAAGACCAGGACCCTTATCTTCTCCCCATTTTACAAATGGAGCAGCTAAGCTCCTAGGGGCCCAGTTTGAGCGGGCCCTGGCTCACCTTGCCTGGCCGCTGGTATATGCACAGGGTGGAATTGCTTGGGCAGCCACCGTGGTTGGTGGTGCACGGGTCCTGGGGCAGACACACTGTCCCATCACCATGGTAACCCTCTTGGCAGCGACACTGTGCCTGGCCCATGGGGCTCACCGAGCACTGGGCCCACAGGGCACAGCGGGAGGGTAGCTGGCAGGGGTTGGGGGCTATCGGGTAGAGAGCAAGAGTCCAAGTAAGTTGAACACCAGAGGCCCATCTCCTGCAACTTCCACCAGGGTGTCCCGAAACGGGGTGAGCAAACAGGCAGTGGGCTTCTTGGGCAAGCCCTCTTCCCTGTTTGGGGATAGCTCTCTCACCCTGCAAATGGCCGGCTAGCACTTGCTAGGTTAAAAGCACATCCTTCCCATGCCTATCCATCCCAAGCTGGGTCCTAGGCCTCCAGGTCACAGGCTTACCTTGGCATTCACTGCCTTGCTGGGTGTGACCAGGCAGGCAGCGGCAGGAGGGGGCCTCTGCTGAGCACTGGGAGTTCTTGGGACACTTCAGGGCCTGGCAGACTGGGAGCTCTGGGCAGAGAGAGGAGAGATCGCTGAAAAGGCCAGAGTGTCTGGCTGAGCAGGAGCACAGGGGCAAAGGTGTGACCTGTGTGGCTTCCTGACTCAGCCATGTGTGACTTTGGGCAGGAACCTGCCCTCTCAGGGCCTCTGGATGGTGGAGGTCTTGGATGATATCCCTCCACCATGATCAGCTGTGTGCCTTTCCTTAGAAATCAATATGACTGCAGGCAGCGGACCTACTGGACCTCAGGCGCTATCCCTCCTCACCCCATTTGCTTCCCTGAGGACCGACCCTGTGTTCACTGTTCACCTTGGTCACAGTGGGGTCCAGTGTATCCAGCAAAGCACAGGCAGGTCCCATCCCCACGTGGCCCACGTCTGCACACACCATGGATGCAACTGCACACTGGAGAGACACAGGAAGATACTCAGGGGGCACCCACGAGGCCCACCACTTCAGCAATCCCAGTCTCAGCCTTGACAGGGATAATCCCAAGGGTACAAGAGCCATGGGAGTCCAGGGGGAGCATTGGGTCCCACTTAGGGGTTCAAGGAGAGCTTCCTGGAGGAGAGCTCCAAGGAGAATAGCACGGGCAGGCGTTTGGAGATAGGATGAAGCAATGTGGGTCCCTGAAGGGAAAGTGGGGGGGCTGAGGGGTTGAGAGGGAGGTTGAAGGGATGGGGGAGTGGTCATAGGGGCCGGGTCCCCACAAGTCCCCAGGTAGCTGCTGGCCCTGCCCTCCTGCCCCCACTCACCAGACTTGCAGTCAGGGCCAAAACGGTTGGGATCTTGGCATTCCTGACAGGCTGAGCCGCTGAAGTTTTCCTAGCAGGAGACACCCCAAGTCAGCGTGGCCCCTCCACCGCTCCCACCCCAATCCCACTCCTGACCCGCTCTTACTTGGCACACACAGGTCCCATTCCTGGCTATGCCATCCAGGCAGGTCCCATGGCCGTTGCATGGAGTCTCAGCACCCCCAGGGCACTCTGTGGACCCCCAGAACTTAGCTCCATTCCTAGAACCCTGGGTTCCCCACTAACCCCTCAGCTCTGTGGAGCCCCAGATGCAGGCCTCACCCCCTCGCCCCTGTACCGTAGCATTCAGACCCCCAGTAGCCAGGGCAGCAGGTCTTCTGCACCACCTCTTTCCAGCACTCCTGTCTGCAGCCGCTCATAGACAGCAATGAGTCCCCCAGTTGTACCTCATAGCTGGTGGCAGAGGGTGGGCAGTGTGGTGTGAGGAGCTCCCATCCCAGCTTCCCAACTCTGGATTCTAGTGCTTACTCCATCTCCCCTCTCTCTGCTTGGCCCAGAACTGAGTACAGGTCACAATAAACACCACCTTGCCTTCTGCCTTCCAACTTCCTTCTCCCCACCTATCTCTGCCCCACTGTAGTTCTCTTAGGCAGGACTGTCGGATATGGCAATAAGTGAGTGCTTGCCCTCACACCCAGGCCCTTCCCTGCCCTTTGCCACCCCATAGGATGCTCCTGGAAGTTGGTGAGGATGGGGATAGGGGTCTGCACCGGCAGTCCTGGGATATCTTCTCAGGGAACTCCCGGATCCAGCCTGGGGGACACACCCGCCTCTTGACAGCGGCACATGGGGTACAGGGTGTATGCGTATAAAACCTGGTCTTCATGTCACAGCGTTTAGACAGCACCTAGGTGGGGTGGGAAGTGGAGACCCTGAGTGAGGGGAGGGCCTGACTCTGTCCTGGTCTCAGCAGGTCCTCATACTGCTCCCTGATCCCCATCTGCTCAATGAGGATGCAGTCAGGACAGGGAGAGCCCTAAGAGACGGGGGAACCACTGCCATAGCCAAGTCCCTGTGTTCATTGCCACATGCTTTTCTTTGTCCATAATTACCACTTTTCCCACCCCATGAGAAATGCCCAGCAGCCTGAGTCTGTGTCTTCTGACATGAAGGGGATTCGGCCACTTTTCCACCTCTGCACCAGTGATGACAGTCTGGGGGCAAAACCATGGTCTCCAGACTCCCAGCCTCGTGCTCCATCTTGCCGTCATTTGCAAATAAATAAATGATAAATAACATGGCTGACACTGTTTGGAAGGAGAATGTAGCAACGCTGTGGTTGATTTATGGGCATGTTGAGAGCACAGGCTCCCACCCGTGGGACTAGCTTCTTTTGCAGAGCACACATGCACAGGGGTGTCAGACAACGCCTGGGACAGGCAGGCATGGCTCTCTGAGCGCTCACCCCAGGTCTGGACTGCTGCCCTCACACACAATGATGCCAAGGAAACAAAAGAGCCCAGCCTAGTGGTCTAAGCAGCTTCCTGAGAGAGGTGACAAACGAATTGGGTCCTGACAGGAGCATGGGAGTGGACAGAGGCAGTGTGCCAGCAGCAGGAGGAACAGAGGCTAAGGCCTGGAAGTAGGAAGGAGCTGCTGACCATGTGAGGAGGCTGATGCCTGAGATGGGGGCTGGAAAGGGGCTAGCAACCAGGGCAGCAAGTCTGATGAGGCTGGGCAAGTTGGTTTGGGTTTTAAGTGGGCTTTCTGGCTGCTGCCTGGAGAACAGAGTATAGGTGGGGGCAGAAATGGACACAGTCGAGGTGAGACCTTGTGACCTGGGCTGAGGCTTAGGCAGTAGGCACAAATGGAGGGGTACTTGGTAGGTGGTACTGATAAGGCATCGAGGCAACAGGATTAGCTAGGGGGGTGGTCAGCCCCTGGTGGGTGGGGGTCCCATGGACTTCGATGGTATGTGTGACAGGACCAGGCCTCACTCACCAGTCTGCATAAGGCTAGAAGTCCACCACTGGGGCCACTTTTACAGCAATGAAGTCCCAGAAAACTACAACACTGCACCCTAGAGAGGCAGAAAGCTAAAGTCCTGGTTATAGGAAGAGAATGGGGAATAGAGAAGGGGCATTTTGATGTAGGAGAGATTTTTTGAGGTGTGGGGCACAGCCTAGAGTAGCTGAGATGTTCTCCTCTTGAAAAATGCTGAACACACTTTGGTCCAAAGGCAGTGAGCCCAGAACATCTCTTTCTTTAAAAAAAAGTACAGATGTCAAGCTTCTCAGAGGATAGAAAAGGAGAAATAATACCCAGACCCTTCTTCTGGAGAACCTGTGGGCCCCAGGGACCTTTCTGCTGCTGTGATTTGGACTTTTCCGCTCATGCCTCTGTGGTCAGCGAACAGGGAAGTTGCCCTGAGCGTTTGCAGCTCCGCACATGGGGCTAGGATGTTGCGGTCTCATTCCCCACCCTGCCCTGCGACTTGGTCTTTGCTGAGCCAGGGAGCAATTAGGAAATTGGGTAACTTGGCGACCAAGCAACTGCTGGCTCAGGGCAAAAACTCAGTGAGCAGCAGGCTTCCCTGGAGGCCACCTGGCCCCTGGGCAAAGCTATGGGTGAAGTCATCATTGGGCATGGTTCAGGGCCAGTGAAGAAGCTGGGTTTGAGGAAATAGTGGGTGAGTTATGGCCTGAAAGAAAGTTGGAGCTCTTGGCCCTGGCAGTGGACACCCACTCACAGGATGTCAGTGTTTGTCAGGGAATGTGAAGTGGAGATGGATGGATAAGGCCGTGTTGCAGTCCAAACCTGCCGCTCTCAGACCACATCCATGACTGCTACATCCAAGTCCCACCTCACCTCTTGACAACCTGAAAACACACCTTGCTGTGGGTCCTGCTGGGGCGGAATGAGGCTGGGGCTGAACCTAGATCTCTTTCTCCCTGTGGGATCTGCCTGCCTGAGCCAGAGAGCATAGCCCCACATCCCCTACACCTCATTCCCAGAATTGATCTTGCATTGTCTCTTTCCACAGAAATAATACTGGGGAAGCTGACGGGGTATGAGGTATGAAGCCTGGTCAGAAGCAAATTATCCAATAAGCAAGGTAAACTTGGTTTACTTGTGCTTACTTAATAATCTGTAGTGAACCTTGCTTATAGGGTAATCCACTCCTGAGCCTGGTTGCTGTTGGTAAGTGTCTTCTAGTCGGTTCTGACTCACAGCAATCCTGTATAGGGTTTCCAAGGAGCAGCTCGAAAGTTTAAACCTCTGACCTTGTGGTTCAAACCAATCTTGTGGTTCAATGCTTTATCCCACAGCGTCACACCAGAACTCCTGAGTCTGGTGGTGGAAGAAATTCCCCCAAGCCAAGACCAAGTTCTTTCCAGGTTCTTCCCCCTCAGAGAGGAAAGGAGGCCCTAAGCTGCTGTCCCTGGCCCAGAGCAGAAGGAGAGGGGCCAGCTCTGGACTTGAGATGATCAGTTCCACCAGCATAGGCACAGCACAGAATAGGAGACCCATACACAGTGGTTGAAGAGATGAGTCCTAGGAGCCTCTCCAGCTTCTGGTGGGTGGTGGTGGTTATGTGCTGTGGAGTTGGCTCCAACTCATAGTGACCCTGTACTGGGTTTCTGAGGCTGTACATCATTTCAAGAGCAGAAAGTCTCTTCTTTCTCCTGTGGAGATTCAAACTGCTGACCTTGCGGCTACCCACTAAGCTACCAGAACTCTACTGCCTGAGTAATCTGTGTTCATGTCTTGCTTATTGCCTTTTACTGACTTTGTGGCTCAGGGGACATCCTTCCCCTTAAGCCTCAGTTTCCTCATATTTGCAGTGGGTTTCAGCTATACAGGACTGAATAAGCATGAGGGTAGGACTGATGAGGCCAGCCTTGCCATATCCCTTCCACAAGAACCCCTGGGCCCTCCTCCTGGCCCAGGCTGGCTGAGCTGTAGCCCCAGAACACACTAGAAAGCAGTCACAGACTGAGACCACCAATAAGTGAAAAACCCCAGCGGGAGGCCCCTCAATGACCCAGTGACCATCCTTGTCATGCAGAACATGAGGAAGTGGTAAGGTCTTTGAAATTCCCTCACATTTGTACATATGGGGAAACTGAGGAATGGAGGGGCAGGAACCTACTTGCAGAGTAGGTTCAGCACAGCACAGTCCTGGAACCTTTGGCTCTTCTCAGCCCCAGATCTAACTGTCCCCAAATCTGGCCAGGTGAGGGCCCCCTCTCACCACATGGAACACAAAAGAAAGTCTGATGATGGCAACGGGTCTGGATGCCCGTTCTGGTACTCCTGGCTGTGGGACCCAGGATCTCAGCCTGTCAGTGCCTTGGGGACAGTAGTCGCTGCCCCTAGGTTTGGATGAGCTTAGCTCACGGGGTGGGGTGGGGGGCGGCATGGCCCTTCCAAAGGACTCTGTCTGCATATTGGGAGGCTCTTCCAGAGGCTCCAAATGGATGATGTTCCTGCCATGGACCTAGGAAACCTGTCTGGAGATGACCACGAGGGGACATGCCATAGCCATACAGTAGCTCCCTGTCCACCCAGCCAGCAGTCACACTCTGGAGAGGGGCAGGGAGTGGTTTGGAAATAGGGCTTCTGAATTAGGGTGACCTGTCTCCACTATCCCTTGGGCTTAGCTTCCTCACAGAATAGCAGGACCCATGCCCATGGTTGTAAAGGTTCAGGGGGATGGTGCCCGACTGTGCCCAGGGCTGTGCATTTGGTCGGTTTTCCCAGAATGCCCCAAGCGGGGTAGCTCTCAGCCTCTGGGGCACTCCCGGGGCACACTCTCTCCCAGATACACATGCTCCCAGCAGCATGCACGGTCCACATGAGTTTCCCATCTCCCATCCCTGGGTGAGGGTCACACAAAGGCCTGGGCTGGAGGGTGGGCCTAGATTTGACTCCCTCATCTTCAGCCTGGGAAGCCTTGGGAGGCAGAGGTTGGGGGGCACACCACACAGCTGGGTGGCTGGGTACAGAGAAAGCATGCCAACACCCCCTTGTCACCCTAGACGGCCAGACACAGACCTTCAGATCGGGTAGGCTCTGAGAAGATCAGCAGGTACTGGCTACCCTTTGTATCCCCAGACCCACGCCCAACCGAGTAAGGCCCTTCCCTGTTCTCGCCACTGGCCAGTAAGACCAGAACACCATGTCCCTTTGCTACTCGCTCACACTCACCTTCTGCCCCATGATGAAGCTGGAGCCTGCTAGACAGAAGGCCAGGAGGCAGAGCAGGAGACGGCCCTGGGGCCCTGCCATGGCCAGTGGTGGCTGCTGGGCACACTGTCCAGGACAGAGTCAGGGTGGCCAGCGTGGGGAATGAGCTCTAGGAGGCAGGCAAGGGGCGGGCAGTTTCCTTAAAAGCATCCCGGAAGCCCCGCCACCTCGCCCCCACAGGAACTAGCCAGGATTTCCTCCTGCGTATCAGCAACCTACAGGCGGAAGGGAAGGCGCTGCCCCTGACCCCTGCATACATGGCCCAGACCCTCCTCCTGGCCAGCACAATCCCAAACCCACTGTTAGCCACAGGGCCTAGGGTGTCTTCAAGATTCCATAGCAAATGCAAATGTAAACGTATCTGTCTGTGGGCACATTCCACTGTCTGGTCATCATCTGGGGGGTATGGCAACTCCTCAAGTTGGTGTGTCAGCACTCGCCCCCACCATTCTAATTGCTGAGGGCAGTTAAGGTTCTGCCAGGTGCTCATCAGGTGGCGCATCCTCTCTTCTATCCCATGCACTCCAACAGGTGGTCTTGCCCACTCCACCTCTTCACCTCCACTCCCACCCCATGGGTCTCCTTAGGGGTCTCCCTGCTGCCAACCCTGCTCCTCCCCGACTGTCTGGCTGAACGCCCCCTGGCTGCTAGGTCCCCTCCATACTATACTCACCTCTCTGGCCCTGCTTCCTCTTCTCTGTTCTGGGCACACCGGCCTCTCCATTCTCAAACACGAGCAAGCCCCTTGGTGTGTTGGTGGTTACCTCAGATTGTCACATAGGTTGTTTCAGGTCAAAGGCTATGGACTGACACAGGTCTATTTATTTTGTGTCCATCTGGCTGGTTCACATGATAGATAATGTGGATTTGGGCAATGAATGTGTTTAATGGTGGTGAATGGTAGGAACTGAGGTTCAGAGGGGTCAGGTAACTTGTCCAAGGTCACTAAGCTGACCAATGTTATAATATGGAAGCTCAGGTCTACAGTTGATGGATGCCCCCCACATACACTGTTAGCCCCTCTCACCAGGACAGCTATTACCAGCCTCCTTCAGCCCATGTCAAGAAGTGGTCTGTCTGTGTGCCAGGCCCCGACTATCAGTATCCCCATTTACAGATGGTCCTATCTCAGTAGGGATCCCTGAGATGGCCCTGTATCTCTGAGGATATGCAAACAGCCACAAAGGGTACAGCACCCTCCCACTTTCCCCCCTACCCATTGTCATCAAGACCATCTTGCTGAGAACCCCAGTCCTCACATACTCCCTGGTGATCCTGGATTCCAGCCTCCTAACCCCACCAACGGCCACCACTCGTCTGTCTGTCGTGCTGTGGTGGATTGAGATGCTGTGATTCTGAGGGCTATACCACCGGTGTTTTGGATAACCAGCAGGGTC